TAGTCTAAAGCTATTAGGTGAGGTTCTCTCCCCTCCTATTCAAATAGAGATTATGTTGGCTAGCTTCTAGTCGGTGGACAGAACCCCTTCCTCCATCGAACTTTCGAAGATCTGTGAGAACAGGGAGGCCAATCGTTCTGCGAACTCATTGAGCTCATTTAAGTTCTTGCGAAAAAAAGAAGGGCGCTTCTATTTGATGGAACGATTTTAAGATAACAGTGGCGCATACCTCCGTCATGGATGTTTGTGAAATAGCGAGATGGGTGGGTCGACATGGGTTCAGCACTGGACAGGTTTTCCTACGAAAGGATCAAAGAGAATATCGGTATGAAAAATACGATTATATAGATAGAAAAATCTAAATTTGTGAAGAAATTAGCAAAGGAAAGTGATAAAAATCTGCTTAATTTAATCTTTAAGATGATACTATGGTGTCCACAGTCATTGCTTCGGCGCGACGGTTGGAGCGCCTTATAGGCATAAAGCAGTACATATGAGGTGTTGTTAAAATGCCGTCGGAGGTTGATTTGAGATTCAAGTTTAGTTTTGTAGTTCATAGCTGGTGGACCTTTCGAGCAGGAGACCAAGGTGCACCACTGACGACAGTTCGAACGTCGCTTTCGGAGATGTCCACCACGGGCTTCAGCAAGCTGAATGCAAACGCGGTGACTGGCACTGGATTATATTGAAAATAGTCTCGCGCCGAATTTACCCTACTCTCTCCCCACTTCCGCACCTGTACCCGTTGCCAAGACAAAGTCGTGAAGACCGAAGATAGGAGAGGGCGCTGGTGCGGCCAAGGCTGTCTCTAAGCTTGCCGCCATGCTCAGAACCGTCAGTTTCGTAAGATGAGCACGGAGCGACTGACCGAGTGGCCCTTGCGACTACATCGACGAGGGCGTGAGAGCCACCGTCGCCATCACGCCGCCCGAAACTTCACTAGGCGCTACTAGTCGGTATCCACTCCTCTGGATCAGACAGAGAAGATACATTTAACCGGTTAACCATGTACACGGCCTGTAAATTCAGTGGGTGCGCAAGCGCATACACTGACAGGGAGTCAGATCCAAGAAAAATGTCAGCACACACCAGGCCGCAGGGACCATGGTTTACTGAGGCGTGGCATTACGTACGCACACAATCCTTAAATCTAGGGTGCACAACCACAATCCGAAACACAATCAGAACATGTTGGCCGATACATTTAGTAATAACTGTTTGCTATTAATCATGAGGCCAAAGGACGGAATGGATCCGGATATCCATTTTTTTGCCGAGTGTTATATTGTCGTATCGGATCAATGAGTTGACATTGGGGGATCGAATTTCAACGTGAAAGGAAGCGGTGACGGCAGCGATCGTGAGAATAAATTCAGGTGTAATTAGCTGGTTTTTTGAATACCCTCGAAATCTACCCTCGAAATATCAACGTTTTTTATCCAATTAAGGCAGTCCATGTCACCATGAGCACACGTTTTGAAGCGTAGAGCCCAACAGCGTGATTGCTAGGGTTTTTGCAACGAGGGAAGAGCAACGTAGTATAACTAATCTAACCAAAGTGAAGGCAACCTTATTGAATGTATTTGCCGCCAATGAGGTGTTGCTCTAAGAAATCGCATTGGCTGTGATCGGAAGGTCCGATCAGTATGAGCAACAGGAAATGGGACCACTGCAGAAGAAACTCAAACAGAGATGGCCTCACGACACAAATTTTTATCAGCTCAGGCTACCTCAGTCTAGAATATCAACTTTAATTCTCACAGAGGTGGGATCCTACTTTGGGTCTCAGAATTTGTTCACATAATCTGATGATTTCGCAAAAAAATAGCGCGTCATTGATAAACACAGAAATTTTCTTACATTTCTTACTCACCCTTAGTTTGAATGTGACAAATTTGGACATATTTACTTACTTATACTTTATAGTTTGTGTGGTTGCTTGATATTCCTGAAAAACGTTGGTGGTTAGGAGGTCTTCTACTTCAACTTACCTAAGGTCCAGCTTACCGTTCTGGAGGAAGATTAATATAATTCGCGGCGTGAAGCGCTGCGCACACATTAAATTAACATGCGCAATAACTGTATATTCATTTAGTTTATTCGGTTTATTTAACTTATACATATTTAACCTCAGTTTTCAGTTCATTACTATGTTTATTTTAGGTTTTAGTAAGTTGCTTTTAGTTTTAGTTAGTTATTTTATAATTTAGTTATTTCTCAATATTTGCATAAGTGCACATTTTAATTATGGCCCCGTTTTGGTTGACAAAAAGTAGATTATTTAAATAATTATTCCTGTTTGTTCTTTTAAACGCTATTTTTTACATTTCCTTTCCTTTGTATTGCCCAGACTGCATACTCTTTATTACATCCAGTCCTGTATTAGAGAAAGATGAGGCTTTCGCGTGCTGATCTAGGCCCCAAAGTAGGATTCTACCATGACTGGATCGTTGTTGAATGCATCTGCCCCCAATGAGGTGGTCGGCAGTGTTGCTAAAAGAAATCACATTGATCGGAAGGTCAGATCAGTCCGAGTAAAAGGAAGTGGGATAACTGCAGAAGAAACTCAAACAGAGATAGCCTCACGCTACAAAATTTCATCAGCTAAGGCTAACGCA